TTCTCCTCTGTATAGTTTCTCTCTGCAAACTAAGGGTTTTTCCCATTTACTCTTCTTGATCGATTTGATTGTTTAGTAGTAGAGTCATTTTTAGTATTCTAACCTTATTTTTGGGTTTCATATTCACGAAATCGAAACCAAATTTAGACGAAATATCTGAATTACTTTTCTAGGGATCTTAGCCGAATCTGTGTTTTTTGGGTGGTTATTCTTCAAGAGTACAAGCTTCATAATTGTTTTGTTGCATTCCAATTGTATTTTTGGATCATTTGAGATGGAAATAGATATAAAAATTCTGTTCGTTTTTCCTAAAAAATTCTTGTATTAGTGCGGGACCAGTATAGCAGCATAGTATCGGTTCTACCAGTTGGGATTCAGTCGGTGATCAATTATCAAAAAGTACCCTTTGTCAAAAGCATCAATAGTCAATTTTTTTGAATGTGAGAGAATTTTGGGTTTTTTTTTTTTTTTTTTAAGTTGGTGATGAGAACAAATTATTAAAACCGACGGTCGGATTCGTACTGACCATTTGCTTAACCGCAAAAAATCCTCTACTTTTGCCATAGTATTGTAGGGTTAAGTGTTCGAAATCCATCCCTACCTTACCCTTCCTCACATGCAAACTACTAAAAATAACTCTATTTACCTTTTTAGAAATTTTAATTGTAAGATTCTATCTGTATGGTCTTGAATTTTAACTATAATTTTTTAAATTTAATTATTCTTATAATTTATTTAGCTTGAGAGAAGATAAGTATGTGAAAGGAAAAGAAAAATTATTATATTTAATTAAATTAAATTGTTAGACCAACAACTTAATTTAATTGGTTATTTCCTCTCTCTTTTATTTTTCCTGCTTTTTTTAAAAACTAAATATGTTATTATTGTATTTCAAAATTAGAATTTACTATAAAAAATTAAAATTCAAAAAAATTTAAACTAAATATCAATAAAACCCAAGTAAATGGAGCCTCAATGCCAAATATTCAAACTCAATGAAATAATAGAAATGTGGCCAAAAGGAAAATTGAAATAATAGAAAAGAAAGAATCCTATTCAATTAGCAGCTGCCTCGAGACTCAGAAGGCCCAAGTCCAAACAAACATCCAAACCCAGTCTCATTTATTGCACTGGATCGATATCTTTAACATTTGGGCTATGTCCAAAATGGGCCATATACACTCGTCCTGACCTAGTGAGAAACCAAAATGGATCATATACACTCTTCGAGACCTAGTCTCATAGCCAAAAACTTACTTCTTTTTTTTTTTTTTAAGTTCTTTACCTTAATCAATTTTTAAGTTTTAATCTCTTAATTTATATTATGACTCTTTTAACCCTTTATTTATATAAATTAAAGAATATAACCCTTACTTAACATAATGTTATAATATTCGTTTGCTAATTATTAATATTCAGTTGACAGATTATTAACAGTAACAGAACAAAACTAATGAAATGTTAACAATCAGATAACAAATGTTATAAATTGACATTAAAAGTTATTTTCTTCAATTCGTAAAGGTGATAGGCTATTTTCTTCAATTTATGAATGTGAAGGGTTAAAAACATCATAATATAAAATAAATGATTAAAAGTAGGTTCTTGCCTAGTCTTATACTTAGTGTTCTTTAAACAGTATTATGATAATTCAAACTTACATCAAGTTATGGAAATTTAAGCCAAAATTTGATTATTAA